TACAGGGACTTTGGCCCAATTTTGGAGCAACTTTAAAAATTTGTAAAAAATCTAAATTTGATTGGAATCAGCAGTGAAGTGGCTTTTAAACTCAATGACAAGATAAAGGAGAGCAATGATCCTAATGCCTGTCTACTTATCATATGTGAGATATTTGAATCTGAAGAAGTAGACCATGATATCAGCCAAGACTCAATGTCATTGGAGAAGGAGGTGGTGATGCATACAGACACTTGAGGAAGCATGGCTAGAGGGAGAAGATAATGTAACTAGTAGAACATGGCAGACTTTGATAGATGCTGTGAAGGAAACAGGAGACCATGCAGCTGCTGAAAGGATACCTGATAAACTGAAATCCCTTTATGATATTACCCTTTAATAATGATTATGAGTTAAAATGATTCAGCTAGTAGATAACTGTTATCATTTCAAGTAACAGCAGGATAGAAGAAGGACTGTCAGGTTTGTTCTACTACACAAGAAATGGAAAGGATCACACTACTAAGTCTACTATATAAACTCTATTGGTAAGTTAATATAAAAATAACACAGCAGTAGTGTATCCGCCCACTTTATAACTGTTGTCTATGTGTTCAGTAATGAGCTTCATTCCAACCCTCTTGCTGTTCTTCTTACAATTAATTTACCTCGCAGAAGGTGAGTGCTTAATTAACTTTGTAACTGATGTACCTTACTCTGACATAAAGTAACTCTATAACAGTATAGTATATATATAGCCCTGTGACACATATTGTAATGCTGTTGTCATCAGGCCTAGAGGCAACAACAAGTTCATGTAAAAGATGAACCAATCAAACTAACTTATGACATAAAAGTAGACTATAGTGGTAGATCCAATATGCCAAAGCTAGTGTAATCCAATTTTTGTGGATTTCTTATCTCGATCGCTAAATAAAAGCCACAGTAAAAATTTCCAAATATAGCTACAATAGTGCAAAGGTGTAGTATTTATGGTCATTCAATGTTAGTTCTTTATATTAATTT